ATGTTTGTTTCGAAATAATCATCTGTATTCACATTTATTATGTTGATAACAACAATGTTGATATTTGTAAAACTATATTTCCTGCACCTGTCATAGTCGTTAAAATAACGTCAAAAAAATTACGTTCAAATGTTGAATGTCATATTGACGTGCAAGTTGGGTCATGGATGGACGTTCAAATTGTGGACCTAGTTTGTCCAGAATTGGTCATGGACTGACGGACCTAATATAGACATGATCTGCACGCCTATCCGACGTCCAATGTTTAGTGGGTTAATTTAATGTCACGTTAGGAAGCTGCATACAGCGCAGATTAATCATGTTACTCAGTTACACTTTGGACAGTGCTGAACCGGGACATTAATAGAATAGAATATGAAGCCCTTATTGTCAGTGCACAGGCAGCAAATACAATAGAGACAGAAATATATAAAAGGGTGATTCTACAGAAACGGTGCCATTTGTGATTGAGAAGGATGGTAAAAAAGTACTTTACAAATTTAGATCTTTTTTGGTTTGATAATACCTGATAATGTCAGTACTGTATAAAAAATACTTTTTCCCACCTAAACATAGAAAATGAAGTTATTTTTTTGCATATTTGTCTGTCACAAGTCACATTTTAATTCAACCCCGTCACAGCCATTTTGTAATTCCGCTATTATTTTTTACAATAAGTTTATGAGCTGCCACTAGCATGGCCTAGCAATTTATGTGTCCCTTGTAATTAATAATATATTTTTATTAGATAGAAAATAAAGGAAACCCCTGAATTTCTACTTCATAATCTGCAAAAGCATGACTGTTTGTCGCTGAACTTTGTAATTTTGCTAGAAAAGTGCAATAATATCATGTAAAGTTTACAAAATATAACTTGACATATTTGTCACAATATAATGCAAACAATAAAAAACATCTTGAAGCTTTGTTTTGTTTATTTACGACAAAAAGGTAACATATGTATCTCATAACAGGACTGAATGCTTTAGAACAGGGTTGAACATGTTCTCTCCTGTTTTTCTAGATTTTTTCTTCCCCTTTACAGATTGTCTAAAACAGAAAATAAATTCACAACCAGGCTCAGAACAACTGAGTAGAAGCCAATCAGTGTCCCTCTCTCCCCCCCTCACTCACACACACACACACACACACACACGCAAACCTACACTTTCTCTAACATGTACATACACCTTACTACTGATTCCACACTTGAAATATCTTTTCCTAACCTTGAAGCTTAATGAGACATCAGCTCATCTCTTTCAGGACTTTGTGGAGGGGCTGCAATACTGTTTACAGCTTGTTGCCTTTTCGTTTACCGCTCCTTTGCCTTCCTGCACATCTTTCTCCTCATCCTTTGACCTCTCTCATTTAGAGCTCGTATACTTTTCTTCTTCCCTGCCTCAACATCTCGTTTCCATCTCTGCCGTTCATTAATGAGGCATCTGGCCCTTCGTCCTGGATCAGCATTTCTTCTTGCCCTGTACTCTCTGTGCCTTTCTGCCGCTGTTTTTGCCATCATTTAATCTGAAAGTATTGACAAGTCAGTGTCCTTTTGATAAGTAACTGGTAAAATGAACATGAACTTGAAAGCAATACTGAAAATTTCTCATATGGGAATGAGAGGCAAGATCACGATCACTTATACAACTTTCGTTTTAAAAAAATCCTCAATTTTTTTAGTTGCTAATGCAAACCACTGACAGCCACTAATAACAAACATCCACATAGGTTCCAAAATATCATGTGTATATGAATATACATTAAATATTGTAAAGATATTCATCCCTGTAGTAGTCATTCAACCACATCACACTGAAAAATGTAATGGGGTTTTTGTCTTAATCTGATGCTAATTGTTAACGCTAGCAGCTAGCAGGATGACACAGCATTCTTTGGCTTAGATATTGTTCTATTTTATAGCTATAAAAATTACTTTTTGATAAAACCTTCTAAACTATGTGTTTTTCCTCCAACAGTGTTGAACACCTAAGCCTGACGGAACCTATATGTTCATAAAAAACAAAATATTTATGAGAAATGAGAAAGTAATTTACCGCTTGTCACACCAGTGCTGTTCAAGAGATACAGGATCAAACCATTACTTTTATTAAATGGGGGTGGTGTTGGTTTCATTACGGGGTTGAATTAAACACAGGGACCGAGAAATTTAAATATAAGTAAATACTTAAATTTCCCTTAAATTCCAATCTCTTTTCCAAAGAAAATATATTATACATGGGAAGGGGTTAGAAGTGCCTAATTCTGCAAAAAAAGTTTATTATTATTTAACATTATTAACTCAAATTTGACCATGCTGTTGGTATGATGAACAATGGGGACAGGCAAAATTCTTCGTACTCTTTGGAAAAACACAAATATAAAAGTTGAAATAAATGTCATTATAACTTTTTTTCTCTGCTAATTATTAAAAAACATGTAATAATTTGAAATGATGCAGTTCAAATGTAGATTTATGAATGTTATGAAAAGTTGTAGCAGCATTACATCTTGGGGCACTGAACCTACTGAAATGGCATCAAATATTTAAAATGACCCAAATTGTACATATACGGGGGAGGGGAAAAGTCCCCAACCCCCAAAATCATGAGGTTTACATTTCATTACATTATTACATTTTAATCAGAGAGAAAAACAGTCACTTTGCATGTTTGTTGTTTGTTGAACCCAGTCACTTATTTTGTCTAACATACATCACACCTCAGACAGAATAAAAAGGGTTATACTGGTTACAAAGAAAAGATTTTACCTTTTTGCCATGGAGAAGCAGCGACATGTGACACTCTGATAAGGTAAAAATGATTCCTCCAGCACACAGTGAGCTATCCCAGCATGCACAGGGACACAGAGGAGTCGTCATAAACCCAAAACCCTGGGCAGAGGGGTTCAGTGAATGAGGAGGTGAAGCTGTACAGGAGGGTCAGTCCATCAGAGGAGACTCTGTAGAAGGACAGAGTACCAGCCGCCCAGTCCAGATACACTCCTACTCTGCGGGAGCCTGAGGGCTTTATGGGTATGACAGTCTCTTTATTATTGTGATAGACAGAGTAACTGTCAGTTGAGCAGCACAGCATCCATGACTTGTCATTGGCTCCAAGCTGACAGTCAGCACTCCATCCTTTCCTACTGATTCCTTTATAAGTCACTCCTATCCAGGCTCCACCTCCACTCCACTCAGCCTCCCAGTAACAGCGACCAGTCAGACTCTCTCTGCACAGAACTTGGGGCCAGCAGTCAAATCTCTCTGGATGATCAGGATATGGCTGCCAGTCTTCCCCCCATGTCACCTTCCTGTTCCCCTCTGACAGAGACAGATCTCTGTTTGCTGTGTTGGGGTCCAACGTCAGCTGGCAGGAGTCTGTAGGCAAGAGGAAGAGCGATTAATCCCATCACGAAGCCCAGCATCTCCATCATCATCACTGTCACACCTCACACACTCACTAACACAGAACTCGCTCCAATACACACATTTTATTCCCAATATACTCATGTAGCCGCCCGAGTCTCAGGCTATGGAAGATTATAAGCACAAAAAATTCAAATGGAAATTCAATATTCAATCAGAGCATGTATTTGTCATTTCAATATTTAATTGGAGCATTTAATTTGAAAATACATTTTGCAATCGGCAATTCAATGTGCAAAGTACTAATGCAATCCTTTATTCATTTAAAAATATTTTGAATAATAAATAACAAGGCACTGAATTGCATTTCATATTACCATGGGTTTGTTGCCTCTATTCAAATGCAATGGCATCCCCGGCAATTGCATTGCGTGTTGGGGGGAAAACTCAATTTGCAATTCCCAACTGTCAGACCGCTCATCAAGGCAGATCTTCATTAAAATCGTCACTTCCTTGTTTAGGGCCTCACCAGCATTCAACGGCTTTGTTGGTTTAGACTAGTGGTGTGCGATACTACAAGATTTGGTAACGATGCGATACCAAGTAAATACAGGGAAAGTATCGCCGATACGATACCAATATCGATACTTCTTAATAATTAAGGTGGATGCATCATCAAATTGCTAAAACTGAATTAATTTTCATTACCTTTAAGTGTTTTTGTGATTTTTTTTATTAATTAGGTAAAACCCAGGACAGAATTTGGGCAAAGTTTATAGGCTATGTAAATAAATACTGCAGCGCGGAGGTACTGGCGGGCAGCGCAGCATGTTGGACTGATGCCAGCTTGTAAATAGTTCTCAGCAATCACTTGTGTGATTATAAATGTGCTGTGTGTTATGTCATGTATAGCGGTTAATGTTTATTGTTGTATGTAGTGTGTGTGTGTATGTATGTGTGCGTGCGCCAACCGTGTGTATGAGGAGTAAACGGGGCGACGTGCACGGTGAGCAGTGCCGGTGTGTGCGTTGTAGTAGTGCGGGTGTAATAAACGCCATCTGATGATTAAACCCCGAACTATCCCTGCTGTTTAATTATTGCGAGCATGACTCAGCCACCCACTTTTATAATACTTTATTATAAATATTATAGTGTGTGTCCGCCCGCCTGCGTCTGTTTGCTAGCCTGGCGCCGCTGAGTCACGTGACAGCCGGGAGCGGCAATTGAGAGCAGCAGCGCGAACACAGACAGCCGCAGTGCATTCGGGAGAGAGATTGAAACTGAAGTATCGATCTCATTGAACTGGTATCGATCAATATCAATAGCAACATTATTATAGATATTATCGATACTTGGATCGATCCGCCCACCACTAGTGGGCAATCTTATCCACAAAGGGCTGATGTGTATGCAGGTTTTCGCTGCAACTCCCTAATTAGGTCACTAATTGGAGGACTGATTGGCTGAAGAGTCCTCACACGTGGGTTTGAACAGCTGACCTAAACGTTATCCCAAAAACCTGCATACACACCGGCCCGTTGTGGGTAAGTTCTCCCCAAGCGAGCTCTATGGGCCGAATGGCCTCCTCTCGTTTGTATAGTTCTTTTGTTCTTAAGATTGCCCGCCGCTGCCCTATGTACTTTTTCTTTGAACTAATTTTATTTTTGCACTAATGGTACTACTGATTGTACAGTAATCAGTTCCGGAAAATTGTGTTTCAAATAAGTGTGAAATTTGTGTCTTTGTGTACTGCACAGTCAGACCTTAATACCATCCCTTAACATTGGTTTCATTTCATCTTGGTGAACATAATGACTTTCAGAAATTGAACATTACATTTTGCACTTTTAATTTTAGTCGACTAAATCAACTGTAGTTTTAGTCGACTGTAATCTTATGATATTTAGTCAACTAAAACTAAAATAATTTAGATGACTAAATTATGACAAAAGACTATGACTAAAACTAAATGAAAATTTGCTGCCAAAATTAACACTGGTGCGAACAGACTCACATTGTAAGAATTCTGCTCTGGTCCTGGGCACTAATACCGGTAGGATGGTGTCTTTGGTAACTAGAAGGAGACAGAGAGAAACAGGGATGTGAGTAAAAGGAATTTACTTGTGGGAGATGGACTCCACTCACTGTGGAGATAACAGTAGGGGATTATAATTATAAGAGACAATAACAGGCATTTTAACAAACTGCAAATCATTGTAAGTTACTTATAATACTGAGTTTTGGATTCTGTAATGCAGAAGAAACATGATTCCTGTAATCTGGGTTTTGTATCCTGTAGAATTTAGAGCTCATTAGTTTTCAGAAAGATTTAATCTTATTGGAAACAGAAACTGACTTGGTGACACAAACGTGAGGCTGACTGTACTGCATACTCTCTCTGCATGGTCTATATTAACAAGAACAGACTGAAAAATGTTTTTATTTATCAACCTGTATGATGGATCTCTGCCATTTTCTTTTTGCAAACATTCTCCAGTTGATCCTTCAGCTCAGAAACCACCTTCCTCATGTTCTCTAAAGAGCAGCGTGGACTGATGGAGATTCTGGGCCAAAATCCAGCTTCAGGGGTGACAGGAAGACCCTGGCAACTCTACAGACAGACAGTCTGATTAAACAGCTTCATCACAACAAATGCGTATGGAAATCTAATTAACAAGACCATTAACATCTGACAAATGACAGACTAGAGAACATGCATCCATTTGATTACTCTGGTTTTCTTATTGTCAGAGTAGCTGTTCTGTTACCTGGAGGAAATGGATGTGATCCTCTGTGTGTGAAAGCTGCTCCAGCTCAGAGTGTCTCCTCTTCAGTTCATCAATATCCTGCTTCAGTCTCTCCATGTCTCCTTCAGCCTGACTCACTACAGCCTTCTCCTGATCTCTGATCAGCTGTGTCATCTCAGAGCATCTTCTCTCAATGGAGCGGATCATCTCAGTGAAGATCCTCTCACTGTCCTCCACTGCTGACTGTGCTGATCTCTGTTGGTGACACAGGGAGCAGAGGACAGTAAATTACAATTGGCCCCTTTTGAGACCCCAGAGAGCCTCATTGTACAATAGTAATGTGAGCTGACAGGAGGTATAAAAACAGCACAGGGCTGGGGTTTGGAGCGTCACCATGCTGGATGCCTCAGGTACTGAAACCCAGCCAGCAC